TGCTGCTTTCTTACAAATTAGCGGCAGCAGTAGCCTAGGTCAAAGGATTCGGGAGTTTTGATAGCTAGAGAAGACAAAGAGGCACCAAAATTTATTTCAAAAGAATTCCAAAAGTTCGCAAAGTATTCGAAAAAACTCCAAAAATTCCAAAACCAGCAAAAAATTCAAAAAGAATTCCATTGACGAACCTTGCGCTGGGAATTGACCTAGTAATACTACGGTTATGCAGACAATCGCCAACAGTTTGATGGCGACGCCTTCGAGCAGAAGCAAAACAAGCTAGGCTGCTCTTACCTGAGGTCGTTCGATCCCATCTTACAAAGGGAGACTCTGGCAAAACAGTTTTGTCAGCTTCGATGTGTAACTCTGACGTCGTACCAACAAAAAACCTGATCCCCCCTTTAGCACGCCTTTCAAAATCCTACTTTAGATGTCAAAATCGAATGTGTCAAATCTTCCTTTACGCTCCTTACTGCAATTTCAGAAAAGAGGCACTGATCATATGTTCTCGCGTTGGCGATATGTCGCTAGCAATGGTGATGTACACCGGGTTCAATAATCACTATCAGGGGATAGCAAAAGTATTAGGAAACCACCGAAGTGACTGATAAATTACGTGCCAAATCAGCATTATGAAGGGAAGGAAACATGTAGAAATATCGGCACTGCTATTCACTGGATGTGCCAGCCCTTTCCTTCAGTCCTTCCTTCCCTTCTCAGTCCGAATACATCGGTTCTCGTCCAGAGCATTCCGTGATAAATTAAACTGTGGCCCTTGGCGATAGCGAGTCCTCTTCTGAGCCATGACCGCTCCAGTGGTTCACACCTACTGATACATTTGAGTGGCTGTTACCTCTTGCCCTGGTGATCTTGCCTGTGAAGCTCAGCCATTTTGGTCACTGTCGTGCTATGATGAAAGCCCGTTCTCACAGATGCAATCCATTTTCCTTTTGACTGCATAGACTCAACATGCCAGTCATTGCCCTCGCGGTCTCGGGCACAGGGTCAACCGTTACGTTCGCAACTATTCAAAGATTTGCGACCTTCGACTCCTCTTCAGGGGCGACACCCAGCACCACCACAGTTTAAAAATGCTCACTAACCAGGGTCACCGTCACGTCGAAATTTCGAGATTTTTCGGCGGACCCCTAGCTTTAGAGGGGGTCCAGTTGCGACCCCCTGTTTTTGTTAATAAGACTGCTAGACATGAATCCTGTTGCCCAGAAAGCGTCTGCGCGTCGTCGCGTCGGCCTTGGAGCGCGGCAGGTATCACCCGGGCGCTGGAAGAACGGGACGCGGCGAAGAAAAAATTTTAGAGGGAATAACTTTCTTGGGACGTATTTTTTGACTTGTTGAGGTAGATTTTGATTGTGCCTGAGGTGCGCTTCCAGAAAACTACAAGGATTGCCTAACTCTCCGGAAAGTACTTCTGTTAGAAGTGGAAAACCCAAAATTCTAAGAAGGCGCACCTTCAACTTTGAAGGCCCATAAAATCTTTCGTATGCGACATTTTGGAAATCTGTAAAAAGTTTCAGAAACATCAAATATTTCTCTAACAAAATAATATAAAAAGTTTGACGATTGTCCTCTTTTTCAAAAAATCGCCCCGTTCGAACACTTTTTTTGAAATCGCGAGTTTTTGGGCTTTCAGCGGGCATAACTCACTTCATTTTCATTTCTGTGATGCACACTTTCCATGGGGTGAAAGAGCAGGATTTGCTCTTTCTAACAAGCCCTAAACCATTTTTCAAAGTTCATTTTTCGAGAAAATCCCACGTTCGAACATTTGGATCCCATAGGTTTTTGAGCAGCACATGCGAGTTTTCGAGCTTTCAGCAATAATAACTTCCTTCAAAGAGCATGTTGGAAAGAGGCGAAGACATTTTTGAAGACTACGAGGTTTCTTCTTTCTTATGTTTCACCATTGTCTGGAAGAATCGTCCTCAGAAAATTAGGTCCCGAAGAACTTTAAATTTCAGCCCCGAGAAGTCAAACCTTTCATAGGGATGCATTCAACTGTTCTTTATTCCTCAAGGAAAACACCGTAATTTGCCTAAAACTGTCTCTCTGTGCATAATTAATCGAATCTAATGCGGTCTGCACAAACAATTCTTGCCCTCGGATACGCCACGCACGCGCCTGTGGCTGGCAGTCCTCGAAATTGCGACCCCCTTCCGACCAAAATGCGACCCCTTCGTTCGAACAGTTCGAACGGACGGTTGACCCTGCCAACCCCCCACTTCTTCCGCCCCTCTCTACCTCGTGACTAGTTATTAGTGATTCTGAGTTCCATCGACACAGCCCACTTTTTCCAGAACGGGTACCGTCGAGTGGGGCAAATTAGTATCATGAAATGCTAATTCACCAGTTTGGCCTACTTCTCACTACAGTCGAAAAACTTGCACCAAATTCGTCAAAAAAAGTGTCCAAACACAACTCCTTCTAAAGATCATTGTCAATCTATGTTCCTACTATGAAAACTTGCTCAACCCCAAATGCGACCTTCAGAAATCACAATGCGAGCACTCATGCGAATATGGAGACGACGTTGACCCTGCTCGCGGCAATTTTGACGCTTCAGCAGTCACTAGCGAGACGTAGTAGACAAGCGTTTTTTGTTTTTGGGCAATCTGTTAATGTATATACTTTTTTATGTAGTAAATTTAACGAGACTATCACAGCAGGGATGGATTATGCCAAACACTTCCAACGGTGGGTATCAAACCTCACCCTAACGTTCCGTGCTCGTTGCAAATTCGTATTCCAGCATCCGCTTCGTCCTAGTAAGCCTCAAGCTCCTACTGGCTACCATAATTTGTCTTCACGCTTCTCTCAAATTGTCATTTTCTGTACGTTATCGTACTTCGTCATTGATCAGGTAGCAATTTTGCCCGCGATTCTCCACCGGTATTTGAACAACCCTAATCATATTTTTTCTATTGTTTAGATATTCACCCCTTTCGTTTGTTTTGTTTCTGTAGCGACAGTGTTATGAAGTTATTGCATTCAAATTCGCATACATCTTATTTTATATGAGAAATGTCAATATTATTTTGGTTTCGTATGTTATTTTATCACTTACATCCAGGGCCCAAGAGCGTCGCTTGCGAAGGAAGAACGCGGATCTGATAAGACGATGCGCCAGCGGCGTGCTGTGTTTGATATGAAACTGTATGGTACACTTATTGCACTGAACTCTACGCTACAGGTATGCGCTCGATGTCCTTTGCCATTCTGCGGCTTTCTTCGCCGCGGCGGGTCAGCCTTGGGACACCTTCACAGCAATTGAAATGGCAGAATCCAATTCAAAATATGTATATAGTTCTATTATTACCAGGGTATAAACTGTGATCTTGCCTGTGAAGCTCA